GCCATGAAAAAGATGCATATAAATGGCAAAGTGTTTTGCAAAATGTTTCTAACGACGTATATGTTAGGATATATGCCCAAAAATAGGATTGCACTGTAATAGTTAAAACATTTTTTAAATTTTATTAAATAAATATTATTTATTTGTTTGTCTTTAAACAATTTTTGTATTTTTACTGAGCACGCATCGAGTACCACTGATAACACTCGGAGTAGGTTGCTTTTGTAAAGAAGTATATATAAAGTGAAACTACTTATATCTCGATCAACAATAGATAAAAGTTGGTGTTTTGTTGTCTTCAGGTCCTAGGATCCACTACTATATCCAACAGAGTATGCGGTTAATTGCAACCGTGACAAGTGGGTCTCGTGAGTAGTGTCTCCAATACACTTGAAAGTATATTGGACAGAACCATTATGTGTAGAATTTGAATCTATAGCATGGCCTTGTGAAATATAAAACGCCACAAGTGACAACATGCTTGATTTACTGTTTTCCTCAGGATGTTCTCTCACTGTGATAGGTGTAGGGTTTTTTGTTACCTTCTCATGTAGGAAAATCATCTTATAGTAGCCAATTCCACTTATTAAATGAATTGGCTTGTCAACTTCTAAAAACAACTAAAGGGGATGAAAAAAGATAGCTATATATATAAACAATGCCAGACTATTGAAAAATTACACAAAACAATTGAGATGTTCCAAGTAATATTGGATGATTCGAAATGAAATAAGTTGCTAATAAATTAAAGTCAATGTCAACAATTAATTTCAATTACACATTTAATGAGACTTGCATTTTTTATCAACTTTTTCCATCATTTTTTTTATATCAAAAACTGCTTAAATTTTATCGAAAACTTTGTCAGACAATCCCTAGTATTTTTCATCCTAATTTTTGAATTAGTTATTCATTTATTTATTTGTGAGACTTGGTTTGAAATTATTGTTGGATTTTTTGTCTGATTTTACGAAATAAACTCACATGTTTATGTATGTTTAATTTAGTTTAGATAATGTGATTTTTTTTGAATTTCACCCTTTCTATAAGGATAAAAATCATACTCTAATGAATGGTTTGTGATTATTAATGATTAATCACATATTATCACGGTCTTCCATGAAAAATGCCAGGAGAGCTTGTGCCACTCGAAACCATGGAAATATTGCTCCAGTCATTTTCTGGTATGTCATTAGTGGTCGATATTAATATTTTTATGCGGTTCTAGTCTTGATAGTTATAGCGATACATTGAACCAAAAATTGGAAAAATCATCAGCTTAACATCCATGTTTTTCTTGTTCTCTCTGTGAGTTGTTCAAAGAGTAAAAATTGGTAGGCGTAGTAAATCTTACGACATTGTTTATCCTATGATACTTGATGGCTGTAACAATTTTTCATATAGTTGAAATCTTTATCCATCCATAAATTTTCTCTGTTTTTTATATTTTCTGTCTTGTTATTTTTATCTAACAAGGATTATATGGATAAATCAATTCCCAACCTAACTGATAGTCAAGCAATAGGAATTTCTCTGGATTTTATGTGTAATTGGATACTTTTAAGATGAAAAAATATAACTTAGTCTCGGTTCGGGAAGAATTTGTAAAGGGTTTAATTTATAATAGACATTAGAATGCGTGATTGAATAATAAAGTTCGACATTTATAAGTTTAGCCAAACAGACACTCAAGTGTGAAGGGATTACCAAAGGGTGCATAAGGAAAGTCAATGATGAATATAACTTTAAAATATTATAATGCTATCCTTGAATTCAAACATTTTTAACGTCTAACTTTTGTCCGTTGTTTGAAGTGGTCAAATAAATTTTGGTAAAATAAAAACACTCAGTTATGCTCTAATAAGAATATCTATTTTTGACTCTTTATTTTACTTTTTTGAATGCTTTTTTTCAAAAATAATTTATTAACTTTTTTTTAATATATATTTAATATGTCAATGGTAAATCCACTCAACTAATCACGGAATATATTTAATATTTAATACAGAAATGATCTAATGAG